AATACCAAGAGCAGTTGGGAACTCGACAAATTGCTATCTTCCATAGACGACAGTTACCATGATCGTATTTGAACTCACGTAGAATACCGGTTTACTCAACCTTTGGCTAGTCGTCTGAGATTTTTGGAAGTGGAACCCGGTGACGAGTGTACACATTCACAAGTTCCCACTCGCAGTTGTACCCAATATAAACAACCCAATCTCCATTTGCGCCTACCCAAGACTTGCCCTCAAGCGATGGCATCTTAACATCATACGTATCATTATCAAGCGGCATCAACTTGCACAAGGCGAGGTTTCTCTCGTCCCCGCGCCAGTCAGCAGGGTCACGACGAAGAAGATAGGGGAGATCAAACCGCTCCTGGACCCTTGGGTTCCTTGTAATGATGTTATTAGTTGAGTCGAGAATGGTCTTGAATGAACCTGCCATGCTAGTCGAGGTGATGACGTCGCACCCATCAATGAGTTCCTCCACCACGTCATCTTTCAGATTGGGGCAAGAATAACGGGGTCGTTTCCGGCCTATTCCCTCCATGGAGAAGATGATCGGACAATGACAGAAGGAAGGGTGAAGGCAAATGGAGGGAGGAAGAGCATGCGACAGCAATTCCAAATCGAGAGGGAAAGGCATAGAGGCAGTGGACGGTTGCCACGGTACACGAAGAGGTGCCTAGGGAGCGAACGGTTGCCACAGAGGTCACACACTGATGACAAGGGCCGAGTGAACCGCATGCATATATCGCACACACCTTCATCTAGCTAACCGTTTCTTTTGTGTTGCCTAATCACAAACAGTTCATCTAAGTGAACCGTATGTTGTATATCTCACACACCTTCATTTGGCTATCTGTTTGTTTTGTTACTCCTCATCGCAAACAGTTAATTGAACTGAACCGTATGCCCTGCATCACACACGCAACTAAAATCTAAACCGTGTTTGATGCAACCGTCATCGCAAATGTTTTGGACATTTTTTACGGTTCTCTGACACCATCGTTTGCGATTATTACATCGCACACAGTTTCTCGAAGGGTCTCTGATCGTAGTGTCGCGTTAGCAGCATCCTGCAGTAGTGACCTCCTATATAAAAAAATCTATGTCAAGTTGGTCGGCATAATTGTCATAAACACTAAATGAAAAAAAATAGTTATAAAAGATAATATATACCACAACCGAATCATAGCTAGGACGAGGGCCGACGGAGGTGGATACCAAAACCATCGCACTATATAATAACAAACAATAATAAAAGTAAGAAAATTACACAAGTATCTATCTAAATCATACAAGTAAGAACTTTTTACTTTTAGAAAGAAGATAAGAACAAGAGGCTCACCACGGTGGTGCCGGTGACGAGATCGGCGCAGGCGATCGACGGCGGTGAGGACGGGGACAAGACGGGATGGACCGCCAAACCTAGAAAAAACTCGAGGAAAATGGAGCTTGGACAAGGAGTTTCGAGAGGAGAAAGCTTAAGTGTGGCTCGGGCATTTCATCAAACACCTCATGTGCATAGGAGGTGAGCTAGAGCACCACAAAGCTCTCCCCTTGCCGGCCAAAAAAAACAAAGCAGTGGAGTGCTCTGCTCCCAGACGAGGGGGTATATATAGGCACCTCGTTGGTCCCGGTTCCTGGATGGAACCGGGACTAAAGGACCCCCTTTGATCCCGGTTCCAGCCACGAACCGGGACCAATGGTTGTGGGCCAGGAGCGAGGCCCATTGGTCCTGGTTCGTGTCTAGAACCGGGACCAAAGGGTCCAAACGAACCGGGACCAATGCCCCACGAGGCCCGGCCGCCCCCCTGGCCTCACGAACCGGGACCTATGCCCCCATGGGTCTCGGCTCGTGACCGAACCGAGACTAATAGGCTAGCAAGGCCTGGACCAAACCCCTGTTTTCTACTAGTGGGAGAGGGTAAATTACAAGAAGGGTAGGTCTGCTCCCACCACGACACGGTAGCGTGCATAGCGTCCCTGAAGAAGAAGATAGGACCGGGTGAGCACCAAAGGAACCAGAATCATACCTCTAAGTCGAGTCTCCAAGAAAATGATGCCCCCAACAGAGGAGCGACGCTGAGAACGCCGCCATCACCGATCCGGGACCAAATCTAGGCTTTCGCCCGAAGACAACAAATCAAGTGGGAGAGGGAGAGGTGCCAACACACCACAACAATGCCCCCAGGGAGGGGCATGACACCCACGGGTGCCATCACCGCCGGCATCGACCGGAGCCATGCATGAATTTCATCTGTATCACCTCCCACCTACACCTCTCCACACCGAAAAGGGGAACATTGTCCAAGATGGTTCACTCCACCGCCGCCACAGTACCTCGCCGTTGAGGCCACATCATCACGCCCCCAGCAGAACCTCCACCAAACACCCGCCACCACCCCACCAAGCACATTACAACTGCTGAAACCACCACGGTGCCTAGCAGGAACAAACCTTGCGATGCCACAGGGGTAGGAACAGAAGGCGAGAGCGTCCCAGCCGCCATCACCTGCACCATGCGGAGATGACCGGCCAAGCAGCCCAAACATCACCACCGCAACCATATCCCACCATGCTGAGCTAGACCTGGCGTCCAATGCACCACACCTGTAGCTACTATACTAGACGCACCTGGACGAGAGCACAAGCACCATACTGCCCTTCTAGTCGCGCCAGATCAAGAGCACGAGCACCTCGTCGCCTTTCTAGCGCGCCAGATCGAGAGCATGGGCACCCTCCATCCTTCAAGTCACGCCAGATCAAGAGCACGAGCACCTCGCCGCATTTGTAGCACGCCAGATCGAGAGCATGGGCACCCTCCATCCTTCAAGCCGCGCCAGAATAAGAGCAACTCACAACCTTGAAGCTCCTATCCCCGATCAACCACCCATCCATGACAACCACCACCAACCGCCAGAGCACCTCGCCGTCCAGATCCACGCGTCGTATCGGTCGCAACCCTGCCAACCAGGGCCCCACGCGGGGGGAAGTCCCCGCCGCCGACCACCACCCGGGAGCCCGGTGGAGGTGAGGGGGTGGGAAGAGACTAGGGTTCATCCGTCTAGGAGCGAGGCAGACACGAATGCTATCCATTTTTTTACAATCTAATAAAGATCAAGTGGGACTTAAATTGCTTCATGTCAAATGCCATATGAATTAGCCGTGAGAGTAAGTTGATCAATGGATGAACAAATCTTGTTAAACTGAATTGTGGGACCCTTCTCATAAGAGGAGAGATCCCTTCAAAAATAGGTGTCTGCTGCTTGATGTGGCGTGCACATGGTATTCTTTAGTAAAAGGCGAAAGAATAGTTCGCTTTGTGCTCACCAGGCAGCTGCCTAAGCTCCAACTCTGCAGTTGACGCCCTGTTAGGCCCTGTACAACGCAAGTGCTTACACAGGTGCTTACACAGGTGCCTCGTTGAAAAAAAACGGTTTTTCTCCGGGCAGATGCTTAGGGCATCTCCACTAGGCCCCCCAAGACGCCTCCCCAGGCCACTTTTTGGGCGCCGGCGGGCAAAAATCGTCCCAGTCATGCCCCCAAGTCCTTGTTTTTCGCCGGATTCGAGCAAAAATAGCGCCGGCGACCACAGGCCACACCCAGCCCCTCGGGGGGCACTTGGGGCCGCCGGCATTACTTTTTGCATGGCGAAACCCCACGCGTCAGCCTCTCTCCTCTCTCTCTCTCCTCATTTCTCTGCTAGGGACCACACATGCATGCAAAAAATCTGCCCCACCTCCTCCTTTTTCTCCCTCCCGCCGCAGCTCTCTCGACAGAGCTCGCCGCCCCGCCTCCTCCGCCCCGCCCCGCCTCCTCCGCCCCGCCCCGCCTTCTCGCCGCCGCCCCCCTGGGCCGCCGCAGCTGCCCTGCCTTCTCGCCGCCGCCCC